GAACTTGAAACCTCATGACTCCGTTAGTTTAACTAGTTTTTCCCCTTTATTTACCTATTAGGAGCTCTCTTTTGCTCAATTGAGGTTTTGTTTTGTGCAGAAAGAGAATGCGACGATGAGATGGGAACAGTCATTTCTTCCGTTTTGCGAGACGTGACGAGGCTTTGCAAAATGATAGTTATTACGTATTTGCTGTACCCCACTATCTATGAGATTTGACACTGTATCGACAATCAAAAACATCCTTATACAACTTTTGCTGCTTGCGTTTCTTTTCGTTAAATGAAAAACATAAACAATGGATTGGAGCAGGTTTCTGTAAGAAAGTAGTTGCTGCGACTTCCATAAAAACGGTCAGAGAAGCGTTAAAAAAGTGAAGAGAGGAAAAAAAATCCTACAGCACCCCGGATTCCCATGTTGTCTCCAACCATAGTACAAACGAGGCCATCAGACGTTTTCACTCAACTGCAGTGATCGGACGGGAACTGGTGTTTTCGCCTAGGTGTGGCCGTGGACGGTTCAGTATGGATGTAAAATAATATAAAAAACCTTTTAGCATCCTCTGTTTTGTGTACTTGTCCATTGTATTATTTTAGTTTTATTTTATTATACTTTCTTTTTGTTCCTTGTGAATAAGCGCAAGTGTGCTAAAATGTGCTCAGACGCGGCTGTTCTTCTGCTACTCAAAAAAAAAGTTCTCTTCATATAAATTCAAGTTTTCATTATTCAAGAGTGAAGGTCAATGAAAGATGATTCTTGCTAATAATTTACAACATTACAACACCAATCCAAAAAACTTTGTAGAAATCAGTAACTTTTTAGGGGCCTTTAATATGTTGTACAAGGCGAACAACGTCAACGTTATATTGTATTATTAGGATTTTGAAAAGTTTTTATTGGCTTGAAACGAAATTGTTGATATTATTCAATCTTAAAACTCGGCCAAAGGAGTGACAACTATTGATAATGCTTTAAATTTTGCGATAAACAATAGTATACGTTGCACAAACAAGTTCGCAAAAGTTTAGTCTGCCGACAATATACATTCCACGTAACAAGTTTTGTCGATATTGATTAGTATGCTTAACACAGTATTCGTTTGTTGAAGATTTGTAATAAGGTAGCACTTCACTAACTTGATCAATCAGGAACGGCGGATTCAGAAAAAAATAAACCGCTTAAAGCCCATATCTGAATACTAGATCGGAAGAACAGTTATAAAAATAATTTGCTCTTACGATCATTTCGCTATATTTTTTTGATAAATAAGTATTGCAAGAAGTATATATGGACCATTATCCATGCATTGTAAAGTTTATCGGTATTGAACCAGGCGCATGAATAAAAGAACTATTAAAATTAGAGAATGCGTATTGTAAATCAGCAACAAGGACCAAACCCACCGCCTTTCGAAATTTATCCTTTAATCCTACAGTTTCATTAGGACGAAAGGATATGCCATATCCAGTAAGATATCTTAACGCATTGTTCTCTGGTTAAATGTTCTATATCGTCCTCCACACAGGTAATAGTTGGTAAACCTTCATCTGGATCATTTACGTTTGAAGAAGGAATGGAAGAAACTTGAAGACCCATTGTTCTTTCTTGTGTATATTCTGTTCTGGTTGACCTCATGCCGATCCGGCTGAGTTTCACTTTAATCTCACCTAGACTCCTCTCTAAACGGTCTATGCCTCTTTGAAACCAACGAGGAGGCTCTTCATCATCTATGTTGGCTAACTCGATTTGCCTTTGCTTATAGGCATTTAGAATAGCTTGACGTTGTGACAAGAAATTAGCTTCATGAAAATTTACATTTAATCTTCTTCTCTTTAGTGCTATGTCAAAGTCTTCGACGAAACATTGGATGGCAGCGGATGATTCTTGCGATGGAGGAGGGATATTAAATTCATTGGCATACAGATTTTTAAATTCATCGTTTCTTTTGTTTATGTCTGGTTTTAGGTGGAATGGTAAAGCCTTCTAGCCTTTTTTAGTATCTGATGCTTACTGTGATAGATGATGGATTAGTCGACTTGAAAAAGTAAACAAAGGTCGATTAACTTAAATCAATTGACACAAAGTTGCGCCAACCGAAATATTCTTCGTAATGTATATTATCAATATATATACAAGCCTACTCTGTGATGTTTTATAGCAAAGAGGTTTTACGTTTTGGTAATCTGAAACATTCTCAGTAAATCAGTTGGTCCCTCGAATAAAATGTTTGAATCTCAGTCAGCGTTCATTATTTTTCTTATGGAATATGATTATATATATACTTTTACTTCGAAAGTATTGTTATGACTAGGCCATCATATCCTTCCATTTGAGCTCTTACTATAAATAACAATGGTCAAGCATGTCATCAATTACTTTTAATGTATACCAAACTTTAGCGAGATTCCATATTTGTGTACTGTACGTTGGGCATTTTCTACTTCACGTAATTTTGTTGTACTTTTTGTAAGAATGTCATGAAAATGAATTCTTTTATGAAAAGGGGCCTTATTTAAAGGCAACCTTAAGGACATTTCAGTTTCTTCGTTCCTATCACATACACATCTGGTCAGTTTGGGACTTGTTTTACGGAACTAGTTCCATCAACCATAAAATGAAACAAACCTTTATATGATTTAGACTACTATTAGAAACTTGCTTGCAAGGCAATTCATTCTAAAGCATCAAGGGGTTTTTTTTATATCACACAAAACTCATAAGTTCGTAACATAGTATTGATATATCTTCGTCTCCTTTTGAAAGAGTAGTTTAGTCTAAAGGGGATTCCAAGGATATCAACATATTTGAAGGATACTAAATCATACATACGATAATACAAGATTTTTTATTCGAATCAAGTTTTTAATCTAAATTTTCTTTTCGTTCAAATCATATGCTTTAGTTTAATAGACGTTCAGCTATTTTCTTCTTCGCTTAGCTCCGCTCATGCAAACTACTAAAGGTACATCAAGAAGACAGATGCAAAACTTGTCTTGGACATAATTGTAAAAGTTTGCTCAAAGGGGGAAAGCGTACATTGAATAAAAGAAATTTATAACCATTCAATTGTAAATTACTCTACTGCTAGCTTCAACACAGTAACAAGTATACATAAAACTACTTTACTGAATTTTATGGGTCCAATTATTAGATAATATTAAAATCGTAGAAATTAAAGTATTATACACTCAATACATATACCTAAAGAAATCAAGAAGAAACAAAGCCTTTTAGTTTACATATTCTCTCCTTAATTTATTTTACCAAATATACCGAAACTTAATTTGCTCTCGATCCGTTCTGTCCAAAAACTCTTCGTTCTTTTCACTGTAATTGAATTCTGGATGTCTTTTAAGTGATATATCTCTGCGGTAGTTTTCGTATATATAATACATCGCCAGAAGGATTAAGGCCCCTTCAAATAGACACGTTGCTACAAGTGACGCCTGGATTCCCTCGATATATTCAGGAACTTGATTTGGCTTAAATAACTGTGGTGAAACGATGTTTCCAATAGAGTAAAATAGAAACATAGTCGCATTCGCTGTTACTTTCTTAGAATATCCAGCTATGTTTGAACTCAAGAGTGAAAGAATCAATGCATTGCCTGAGGCGACTGGAGAAAAAAGCCAAACGCCCACTACTCGGGGCCAGGGATTAGAATCAGGAATCTTCCATATCATAAGTGCTCCCACAATCGTCAAACTGCTGGTAAACATACACAGAGGGATTCTCCCTCTTCGGAAAATGTGAGAAAACACTCCCACAAATATCATGCTGCCAACTGTAAATGCGCCGGATGGCAATGTTAGCAACGTAGCATTAATTCCAGAATATCCCATTCCTTGGATAATTAAGCCGCTAAACACAGACATCGCGTTCGTGACTTGGCACATTCCATTATATAAGACCATCAAAATAACTTGGGGGTCCTTAAATGCTTCAAGGGCTTGAGAGAGCTTAAATTTTTTCGTTTCCATTCCTGTTCGATTCTTACGGACTCGTTCTATCGCGATTCGTTTTTCTCTGCTATTTAGAAATTTAGCACGTACTGGATTTTTTGGAAAAAAAATATACACAAACGACCATAAGTTGGAAATAGCTCCAATTACTAGAAACGGATACTTCCAATTTGGTAAACTTCCTTTGATATGACCTGTTCCGTATCCTAAGAGAGCACCTACCATTGTGGAAACGCCATTAAATGCATACCAGCACACAGTTCGAACTGGTTGTTCCTCCCGTTTATACCACATAGAGGTAAGAGCCACGAACGCAGGATTCACGCATCCTTCAAATACTCCTGAAAGAAAACGCAACGCAAGTAAGCCATGTCGGTTCGTGCAAGCCGCCATAAGTAAAACACACGCGGACCACAGAAACGAAGCCGTGAACAAAAAAAGATGGATCGGGTATCTTTGTAAGAGATACCCAGCTGGATACTGAGCAATCATATAACCGAGATAAAAAATGGTGGAGAGCCAGCTATACGCACTTCCACTTAAATGGGCACTTTCTTTCATTCCATACACGGCTGCGTACGAAACGGCTGTCTTATCGAGATATTGAACTCCGTATGTAATACACATGACCGGCAGAACAAACAAATCAATCTTCCGTCTTACTTTTGCATCTTCGGCTTCATCGTATTCAAACTGTTCATCATCTTGTATGATTGCCAAAGCTTCATCAATTCCTGCATCCTGGGGATTAACTGCCCGTTCTTGTTCTTCATAAGTAGAGAATCCTTTCACAACACGGATTTTTTCTTTTTCTTTCTCGGCCTGCTTTAATTCTGATCCAGAACGTAAACTTTCCTCGCTAACTTTGGACGAAGAGGAATGATCATTGTTTCTATGATCTTTGTAATTGCCAGTAAATTCTATCCCCATTTTTTGAAGGCACTTTCTACAGAAGATTTAAACGTGCTATATAATATAGAAGAGTAAAAGATAGATAAGAAATAAATTTCCGTGTTTCGTTTCATTGTTATAGAATCGTTGATATAATCTAACTTTCATCACCTATTAGAAATATTATAAGCGATAGCCAGTGTATTAGCCATTTTTCTGAAAATATGGTGTGCTGTTAGAAGATGCGATAGATAGACGATGGTTCATAAATCCAAAATGTAAATGGTGTAATTAAGGGACAAGTATCTACTACCGAAGCTAAATTTAGCTTTTAAGTATTTCCTAGCCGAACATAGTTAGCCGAGCTAAAGAATGAAGGCTACATCATAGACTAATAAAATGATTCCTTTATATATTTTTTTCTGGATATAAATATCAAGTTCATTTTTAGCATTGCACAGAATTTCTTTATATTCTTCTGTATAGGCACAGTTCCATATAGTAGCAGTAAGTGAGTATGTGACTATTTTACCCAGACACACGAGAAAAGCCAGATATAACCAATTTCTAGACGCTATGATTTGCTTTCCATGCGGCTTTCTTCTCTCATTCCTTGTCGTCGTTTGCTTTAAGATCCGACCAAGTCCAATCAATAACGCATCTACCAACTACATCACAGCTGACTTGCACAGCATTACCAAATGGAAAACATGAATGTTTCTAATAATGAGTTATTCGTCATTGCTGTTATACGATATTGCGTAGTGTAATGAAAGATAACAAGATAAACGAGTGCGTCAAGATCAGCTTACTTTACGTAGATGAGTAAGCAACTATAATTGTTCTTTCCAACGTGGTGTATTTCTTAGTGAAGTTTCTACCACATCGACTGTTCACACCTTTGTTTTATTTTTTTTTTATAAGGAATACGTAAAGCGAGTATCTTAACTATGACTGTATTTACGGTGTTTGGAGGGCACGGTAAGGTGGCCTTACTTTTTACAAGGTTTGCGAGAGAAGCAAAACACGTCGTATACAATGTAATTCGTAATCCTTCTCACAAAGAAGATATTGAAGAATGGGGCGGCCGACCTAAAGTGCTTTCTTTGGAAGAAGCATCCGCTAACGAGATTGCTGGTCTATTGAAGGAAACTCAAACAGATGTAGTTATATTCTCTGCTGGTGCTGGCGGGAAAGGAGGTCCTGAAAGGACTAAAGCAGTAGATTATGAAGGTGCTGTCAAAGTTTATGATGCAATGAAGATTGCAGGTCTCCGACGATTGATTATGGTGTCTGCAATCGACAATCGTGATATGAATCAACCTCCTCCGATTCACTATACTGCGGCTGATGTAAAATGGAGTGAAGAAATACATAATGCTATCCCGACTTACTATCATTACAAATTCCTTGCAGACCAAGAACTAATAAGACGCTCCGACGATATTGACTGGACAATTTTGCGTCCTTCATTGCTTACGGACGAAAAGAGTTCTGGAATGATTGCGCTGGGTAATATATCTGTAAAGCAGCCGATCTCGAGAGAAACCGTTGCACGCGCGATACTAGGCTTTGCTTCAAATGCGGAATCCCAGCACCTTGTCATTGACATGACAGAGGGTGATGTACCTATTACTACTGCCATTCTTGCGTTTCTTGGTCGCAGGGAATCCTCATATGACTATCCACTTTAATAATGAAACCCAAAACGATTGATGTGTGTGCTATTTATGTTAATATTACAAAATTCGTGGGCTTCGAATAAATCGATGCATTCTCAAATGATTATCCAAACATAGCCACTTAAAAACATATAAATATGAATTTACTTATCGCTGTCTATCTCAGTATTACTTTTTTTAAAAAAATTTAAAAAAAAAAAATAAAAAAAAAAAAAAAAAAAAAAAAAAATAAAAAGTAAAATAAGTACTACTACTACTACTACTAACTAACGAAGTAG